GACAGAGTGAGACTCCAACTCAAAAAAAAAAAAATAAAAATAAAAAATGAAAAAACAGCTGGGTGTCGTGGTGCGGACCTGAAGTCCCAATTACTCGGGAGGCTGAGGCGGGAGGATCACCTGAGCCCAGAAGGTTGGGGCTGCAGTGAGCTGTGATCGTGCCACTGTACTCCACCGGCCGGGGCGAAACGGAGAGACTCTGACTCAAAAAATTAAAAAAAGATGAGTCTCTGGATTCATGAAGAAAGGGCGTCCCGTCCTCAAGCCTGGAGGGCCAGAGACGGGCCAGGGGGAGGCAGATGGTGGAGCGTCCTCTGGGGTCCGTGCAGCTCTCCATGGCCCCCTCTCTTAGCCAGGGCAGCTTGGGCATGCTTGGGGGCCACAAGCCCACACGAGCTCCAGGGCTGGAACCTGGGGAAAAGCCCGCAGGAAGCCCAGGAAGGCGGACATCCACGAGACATGCCCTCCGCTCTTGGCCAAACCCTCCAGGGTCCCAGGTGTGAGGCGGGGCGTGAGAAGGTCCCAGAAGAGCAGGCCTTGGGGTCCCGCCCCCTCCCCAGCTCCCAGGAAACAGCTGGTCCCTCCAGGGCCAAGGCGTCTGCGTGCTAAGCTGGTGAGCACCGACGTCCACAGGTGGGTGGCAGGCGGAAGCCGGCCCCCCAAGGCTCAACAGAGGGGAGGGCGAGCAGAGCACAGCCAAGGGCCCCTGGGACCCCCGGGGCATTGGGGAAGACGCCCCACCATGGTGACGCCACAGACGGCCACTTTATCGCCACGGCCACCCCTGCACACCGGCTGGCATTCCCGTGCCGCACGCCACAGACCAGGCAGAGTGCTCTGTGACTCAGGGCCCTCTCGGTTTCACAGAGGAGGAAGCAAAGGGTCAGAGTGGGCCACAGACCAGCCAGGGCACTCCACTGGGAATTGGCAGAGCTGGGGTTTGAATCTGAGTCTCTTCGGCCCTAAAGCCCGTGTTCTCTGCCAGGCCCGTCTGCACCTCCGCCGCCACCACCACCACCACCAGGAAGCCCCCCAGGGACAAGAGGATCAAGGGAAGGAGGAGGGAAAAAGAACTACAAGGAGAAATAGACAGGCCCACCGTTAGAGCTGGAGCCTCCCCGCCCCCATCAACAAGTGGCAACTCGAGCAGGCGTCAGGGAGCACAGAACAGCCAGATCTCAGCACTGTCAACCCCCTGCATCTGATGGACGTTTCTAGAACACTCCCTCGAACACCATCCCGGTTCTTTTCGAGCACACATGGAACATTCACTGAGACAGGAACCACGCTGGGCCACAAAACACGCCTAGCAGATTAAAAATCCTACGTAGTTCTCGAACCACAGCGAAATTAAACTAGAAACCAGCAACAGAGAGGAAAGTGAAAAGCCCCAACTATTTAGAGATTAAACAATTCTTTTTTTCTTTTTTGTGAGCCAGAGTCTCACTCAGTCGCCCAGACTGGAGTGCAGTGGCCACTCCCGGTCACCTCAGCCTCGACCTGCTGGGCTCCGGCGATCCTTCCGCCTCAGCCTTCCAAGGAGCTGGAACTACAGGCACGCGCTCCCACGCCCGGCTAATTTTTGATTTATTGTAGAGATGAGGTCTCACCAAGTTGCCCAGGCGGGTCTCGAATCCGTGGGCTCAGACAATCCGCTCACCTCAGTCTCTCAAAGTGTGGGATTACAGGCTGAGTCACCGAGCCCGGCTCCAGCCATTATTTTTATTTTGAGTTGGAGTCTCACTGTGTCACCCAGGCTGGAGTGCAGAGGCACACGCACAGACACTGCAGCCTCAACCTGCTGGGCCCCGGCAATCCTTCCGCCTCAGCCTTCCGAGTAGTCGGAACTACAGGCGCGCGCAACCACGCCCGGCTAATTTTTTATTTATTGTAGAGATGCAGTCTCGCCAAGTTGCCCAGGCAGGTCTCGAACTCGCGGGCTCAGGCAATCTACTCACCTCAGCCTCCCAAAGCGCGGGATTACAGGCTGAGCCACCGAGCCCGGCTCTAAACAACAATTCTAAACGACACGTGGGCCAAAGAAGTTGTCGCAGAAGAAAGTGTAAAATATTGCAACTGGCTGAAAATAAAAACTTATCAGGATCGGAGGGATGCAGGGAATGCAACACTCAGAGGAAAATTCATAGCACAGAACGCAAATATTCCAAAAGAAAGGAGAACAAAGGAAGACATGACAGACCGCTCTGGAGACTGGATGCCACAGGGACTGTGATTTTAATTTTAATTTAACTTAATTTAATTTATTGAGATGGAGTCTCACTCTGCCACCCAGACTGGAGGGCAGTGGCACGCTCACAGCCACCACAGCCTCGACCTGCTGGGCTCAGGTGATCCTTTCACCTCAGCCTTCCAAGTAGCTGGAACTACAGACATGCCACCATGCCTCGCTGATTTTTTGATTTACTGTAGAGATGAGGTCTTGCCAAGTTGCCCAGGCTGGTCTCAAATCTCTGAGCTCAGGCAATCCTCTCACCTTGACCTCCATGGGATTATAGGCATGAGCCACCACACCTGGCCAATGCATTTTGCTTTGTTTTATTTGATTTTATTTTTTGAGTCGGAGTCTCACTCTATTACCCAGGCTGGAGTGCAGTGGCATGCTCACGACCACTGCAGCCTCAACCTGTTGGGCTCAGGAGATCCTTCTACCTCAGCCTCCCAAACTGCTGGGATTATAGGCGTGAGCCACCACACCTAGCCAACATTTTATTGTTTATTTTCAAGTCTGAGTCTCATTCTGCCGCCCAGGCTGGAGTGCAGTGGTACGCTCACAGCCACCGCAGGCTCAACCTTCTGCCTCAGTCTTCCAAGTAGCTGGAACTACAGGCATGTGTCATCACTCCCGGCTTATTTTTTGATTTATTGTAGAGACAAGGTCTCGCCAAGTTGCCCGGGCTGGTCTCAAACCCATGGGTTCAGGCAATCCTCTCCCCTCGGCCTCCCAAAGTGCTGGGATGACAGGTGTGAGCCACCACGCCTGGCTGGGACTGTGGCTGTTAACAGATGCCAGCTGGCTACTTCGCGGGCAGAGAACTAGGTCCCTACCCATCACCTCAAGCCCCTGGGGCACACCCACCTCCGCACGTCAGCAGGTTCTGTAGCAGCACGAGGTGGACCGGACAGGAGCACCGTGGTGTCCCGTCGCCCTTGGCAATGCAGATGTGGGAGCAGCCACCGTTGTCACGGGCACACGGGTGGGCCGCTACGGAGACAAATGAGACACAAGGGGTCAGTCCCACCTCAGGACAGCAGCCGGGAGGGTGGAGGATGCGGGAGCCAGGTGAGAACTCAGGAGGTCCCCCATGGGAGACGCTACTACTTCATCCTCTCGGCCACCCACAGAGTCTGTTCCTGCTGACGTGGAAATTGACAAAGTGTCTTTGTTGTTGTTGTTGTTTTTCAGTCAGAGTCTCACTCTGTCCCCCAGGCTGGAGGGCCGGGCACACTCACGGCCACCGCAGCCTCGACCTGCTGGGCACTGATGATCATCCCGTCTCAGCCTTCCAAGTAGCTGGAACTACAGGCATGCGCCGCTATGTCCGGCTAATTTTTTGATTTATTATAGCAACGAGGTCTCACCATGTTGCTCAGACCGGTCTCAAACCTCTGAGCTCAGGTCATCGTCTCACCTCGGCCTCCCAAAGTGCTGGGATTACAGGCATGAGCCACCATGCCCAGTCAACACTTTATATTATTATTATTATTTTTTTTTTTTGAGTTGGTGTCTCACTGTGTCACTCAGACTGGAGTGCAGTGGCCGCTCCCGGCCACCACAGCCTCAACCTGCTGGGCTCCAGCAATCCTTCCACCTCAGCCTTCCAAGTAGCTGCAACCACAGGCATGGGCCACCATGCCTAGCTAATTTTTTGATTTACTGCAGAGACGAGGTCTCACCAAGTTGCCCAGGCTGGTCTTGAACCCCTGAGTTCAGGCAATTCTCTCACTTCGGCCTCCCAAAGTCCTGAGATGACAGGTGCGAGTCACCACACCCAGCTGACAAGTGTCCTTCTAAGAGGAGACAGCAAAGGCGAAGAGACAGACACAGAGGAGATGGTCACACAGAGGCAAGGGTGCAGGGATGCAGCCACAGGCCACAGAACACCCAGCTACGAGTGCAGGAGGCCCTGCACCACCTGGATCTCACACTTCCGGCCTCCAGAGCTGAGATGGAATGAACACCTGTTTTGAGCCACGCAGTTTTTTTTTTTGGTTTTTTTTTTTTGAGTCAGAGTCTCACTCTCGCCCAGACTGGAGTGCAGTGGCCGCTCCTGGCCACCGCAGCCTCGACCTGCTGGGCTCCAGCAATCCTTCCGCCTCAGTCTTCCAAGTAGCCAGAACTACAGGCGCGCTACCACGCCCGGCTGATTTTTTGATTTATTGTAGAGACGAAGTCTCACCAAGTTGTCCAGGCGGGTCTCGAACCCGTGGGCTTAGGTCATTCACTCACTTCGGCCTCCCAAAGTGCTGGGATGACAGGCTGAGCCACCGAGCCTGGCCAAGCCACGCAGTTTTTGGCCATCTGCCACGGCAGCCACAGGACACGAGTCCACATGGGCATAGAAACGGCAAAGGCACCCCGCGTGCATGGAACGTTCACCCAGACAGACCACAGGCTGAACCGGAAAACACATCCAACACATTTTAAAGAAAAGAAGTCAGACAAAGCAAGCTCTCAAACCACAGCAAACTTAAGCCAGAAATCAGTAACAGAAAGGCCACTCAACTCTGGCCTCAAACCCAAGCCCCACCCACTCATGAGCCAGGTGACACGAGGTAAGTGAACACCCTCTCTGAGGCTTCCTCTCCTCAGCTGTAAGATAAAACATCCATGAACGAACGTACGCCATGCAGTCGTATGCCGCTGCAGGGCCTGACCGTGGGGACCAGAGGGGGACAGCAATGACCCTGCTCACAGCCTGAGGGCACTTACTGAGCGGAGAAAAAAGTCAGACGACAGAGACAGGGAGAAACATGCACACACCCACGCACGCAGACAACCACCTATGGGTGGGGTGAAGACCCATGGGACCCGGAAGTCCTTCTCTCCCAAGCCCTCGGGCTCAGCTTGCCGGGGGCAGGCAGAATCCTCAATGTCCCCCAAAGTCCCATCCAAATGAGCTATCAAGCCCGTGACTTAGTCACCTTGCAAGGCCAAAGGGACGCTGCAGATGTAATTAAGGTTACTAATCAGTCGAGTCTGAGTTCATCAAAAGGGAGACCAACTGAAAGGTGGGCCGAGCTGAACCACAGAGCCCTTTAAAAGCAGAGAGGGAAATCATGAACTTCGTAGCAACCTGGACGGACTTAGAGTCTATAATACTGAGTGATCTTTTTTTGTTTGTTTGTTTTGAGTTGGAGTCTCAACCTGTCACCCAGACTGGAGTGCAGTGGCCGCTCCTGGACACCACAGCCTCGACCTGCTGGGCTCTGGTGATCCTTCTGCTCAGCCTTCCAAGTAGCTGGAACTACAGGCATGCACTACCACACCCCGTTAATTTTTGATTTATTGTGGAGACGAGGTCTTGCCGAGTTGCCCAGGCGGGTCTCGAACCCGCGGGCTCAGGCAATCCACTCACCTCGGCCTCCCAAAGCGTGGGATTACAGGCTGAGTCACTGAACCCAGCCCCTGAGTGATCTTTCACAGAGACAAAGAACTGAGTATCACATGTTCTCACTCATAAGCGGACCTTGAACAACTACCATACTACTATTAGAAAAGGATTGACAGTGGCGGGAAACCACAGGGGTGTGGGGGAGTGAGGTGGGATTGGCATTAGTGAGAATCTGTCTGGGGAAGCGGGGACACACCTCATCAACAAGGGTACCTGCACAATGAATATCTGTATACCTAATATTTTAAAATATTTGTACCCCAAAATTTTAAAATAAAAAATGTAAAGATGAAAAAAAAAAAGCACAGAGGGGCCAGGCTTGGTGGCTCAGCCTGTCATCCCAGCACTTTGGGAGGCCGAGGCGAGTGGATTGCCTGAGCCTACAGGTTCGAGACCAGCCCGGGCAACTTGACGAAACCTCGTCTCTATAATAAATAATAATAATAAAAAAACTAGCCGGGCATGGTGGCGTGTGCCTGTAGTTCCGGCTACTTGGAAGGCTGAGGCGGAAGGATCGCCGGAGCCCAACAGGTCGAGGCTGCGGTGGCCGGGAGCGTGCCCCTGCACTCCAGCCTAGGTGACAGAGTGAGACTCCGACTCAAAAAAGTAAAACAAAAGCACAGAGGGCTCCCAGCTGGCAGGAGAAGAGGAAGCCACATTCAAGGCACGAGAGGGACCGACGCAGGGTGAAATGGGAGGCCATGGGGTGAGGACGGAAGGGGCCTCCAGGAGCTGAGAGTGGTCCCCGGCCAATGTCGAGAAATAAGCCAGAGCCTCAGTCCCTAACTGCCAATGTTCTGAATGAGCAGAGAAAGGGTTCTCCCCAGAGCCTCTGGCGAAGGGCTCAGCCCACACGGCATCTTGGTTTGGGGTCTGCGAAACCCCGGCAGAGAACCCAAGTGAGCCACGCTGCGCCTGGAACTGTGACAGCAGACTTGCGAGGCCATGCATGGGTGTTGTGTTAAAATGTGAAGGTTGTGGTGATTTCTTTTGCAGCAAAAGAAAAAAGCCTCAGGGCTGGGTGCGGTGGCTCATGCCTGTCACCCCAGCACTTTGGGAGGCAGAGGTGAGAGGATCGCCTGAGCCTGCGGGTTCGAGACCAGCCTGGGCAACTTGGCGAGACCTTGTCTCTACAATTAATTTTTTAACAATTAGCTGCCAGGCACACTGGCTTGTGCCTGCCATCTCAGCACTTTGGGAGGCAAGAGGCAAGAGGACTGCCTGAGACCACAGGTTCAAGACCAGCCTGGGCAATTTGGTGAGACCGCATCTCTACAAAAAAAAGAAAAAAAACAAAACCGGGCACAGTGCCTCAAGCCTGTTATCTCAGCATTTTTGGAGGCCGAGGCAAGAAGAGTCCCTGAGCCCACGGGCTTGAGACCAGCCTGGGCAACATGGTGAGACCTCGTCTCTACAATAAATCAAAAAATTAGCTGGGCGTGGTCACACGTGCCTGTAGTTCCAGCTACTTGGAAGACTGAGGCAGAAGGCTCAGCAGAGTCCAGCAGGTTGACACTGAGGTGGCTGTGCGTGTGCCATGGCACTCCAGCCTGGACGATGGAATGAGACTAACTCCAAAAAAGAAAAAAATTAACTGGGCATGGTGGCATGCACCTGTGGCGCCAGCTACTTGGGAGGCCAAGGTGGGAGGATGGCCTGAGCCCAGCAGTCGGGGCTGTGGTGGCCATGAGCCAGCCTCGGTGACAGAGACTATGACTCAAGAAAAAAAGGCAAAAGAGACGCCCACTCCCTGCCTCACGTACAGAAGTCCTCCAGGCTGACTTCCTCCACCGCGTGAAGGCCTGTGAGGTGGGCCACGCGGCCCTGCACACGCATGCGCTTGTCCCCGGTGGTCTTGTCCACACGCTCGATCATCTGTTGCTGCCGGTCGATCCAGTACAGGTGTCTGCCGAGGACGGTCAGGCCCACGGGCTGCACGATGTTGGCGTCCTCCAAGGTCAGGCGGTTGGCCCCTGCAGGCGGGGGAGGGCCTCTGAGTGGCGGTTGACCCCGAGAGCTCACCCCACGCCCGGCCTGGGAGCACGGAGGCTGGCAGAGAGGGCCGCCAGGGAGCCCGGGGGCCGCCATGCCCTGGCCGGGGCATGCTCCTGGGACCGGGCGGGTCTGAGACGGGCCTCCAGAAAAGCCACTCCCCGGTGGGCCCCAAGGCCAAAGCTACAGGGCCCAGCCACACAAGGGCCCCGTCGCCAGCCCCTGCAAACATCGCACCCCTCCCCACCCTCCCCACTATACAGAAGAAGAGCCAGCGGCCTAAGTGCACGTTCAAGCACCAACAGTCATTCTTTCCTCCAGCCCAGGGGCCTCCCAGGCTGGAGACTGAGCTGGGGTCCAAGGCCAGGCAGACTCCTGCCCTGTCCTCCTGCTGTGGGACCCTGAGCAGCTCACCCGCCCTCTCTGAGCCCCAAATTCTTTCCCTGCTTCGGGGGCTCGCTCCAAGCCCACAGCCTGGAACCCTTGGGTTAGGACTGCACGTGACACCCAGGTGAGCCCCGGCACATGTCCCAGACGGCAGAAGGCCCAGGAAGGCCAGTGGGGACCGACGGGGGGCGCATACCTGACAGGTCGCAGCTCTCGATGCGCTTCAGGTCCGCGTCCACCCAGAAGAGCTTGCCCAGTGTGTTGTCCACCACCAGGGCCACGGGGCGGATGAGGCCTGTGGTGAAAAGGACCTCGCGCTCGGTGCCGTCCAGGGCAGCGCGCTCGATCCTGGCCGCGCGGTCCTGCATGTTGGTAAAGTACAGGTACCTGCGAGAGGGCGGGGTGAGGACGGGTGCCGGGAGCACTCCCCACCGCCACGGAGTCCCCCCGCCAGCGCCAGGTCGCCCCGGCCCCCGGATCCGGGAAGCAGCCAGGCAGACAGCCCCAGCTGCACACGGCAGCCCCAGCCCGCAGGACACCAGTATCCCGGGCCTCTGGGCCTTGTGTTACTTTGAGCAGAGTGAAGGGAGCACGCTGAACCGTGTCCCCAAAATTCAGGTCCACCCCAGACCTCAGAATGGAAGCTCATCTGGAAGCAGGAGCTTGGCACATGTGACGAAAAATCAAGACCATGATTTAGGGTGAGGGTGAGCCCTAAAGCCAATGAGAGGGACCCCAGGAGAGACAGCAGAGGCCGGGTGTGGGGGTTCCTGCCTGCAATCCCAGCATTTTGGGAGGCCGAGGTGGGAGGATGCCTGAGCCCAGGGATTTGAGACCAGCCTGGGCAACCCAGTGAGCTCTCATCACTAAAAAAAAAAAAAAAAAAAAATTAAAAAAAAAAAGCCATGCATGGTGGCGCGTACCTGTAATCCCAGCACTTTGGGAGGCTGAGGTGGGAGGCCTGCCTGAGGCCAGGAGTTTGAGACCGCCTGGACAACATAGTGAGACCTTAATACACAAAAAAAGAAAAAAAAAAAGCCAGGTATGGTGGTGTGCACCTATAATCCCCGCACTTTGGGAGGCTGAGGCGGGAGGATTGCCTGAGCCCAGGAGTTTGAGACCAGCCTGGGCAACACAGTGAGTGAGAACTCATCACTCCTCCCCCTCAAAAAAGCCAGGCATGATGGCATTCACATATAATCCCAGCACTTTGGGAGGTCAAGGTGGGAAGATCTCTTGAGTCCAGAAGTTTGAGTCCAGCCTGGGCAACACAGTCAGACCTCATCACTACAGAAAAAAAAAAAAAATGCTGGGCTTGGTGGCATGCACCTGTAATCCCAGCACTTTGGGAGGCCGAGGCAGGAGGATCACTTGAGTCCAGGAGTTTGAGACCAGCCTGAGCAACACAGACCTCATCACTACCAAAAATAAAAAAAAGCCAGGCACCTGTAATCCCAGCCCTTTGGGAGGTCAAGGCAGGAGGACTGCTTGAGCCCAGGAGTTCGAGACCAGCCTAGAAAACACAGACCTCATCTCTATATGAAATAAAAAAATTAGCCGGACGTGGTAGCACACGCCTGTAGTCCCAACTACTCAGGAAGCTGAGGGGGACGGATGGCCTCAGCCCTGGAGATCGAGGCTGTGGTGAGCCAGAATCGTGCCACTGCACTTCAGCCTGGGCAACAGAGTGAGACCCTTGTCTCAAAAAAAAAAAAAGAGAGACAGGCAAGGCCACGCAACATGCAATCAGAGACACAGACTAGAGAGACATGACCATAAGTCAGAGACTGCCGGGACCCATCGGTGCTGGAAGATCCCTTACCTACACCTCTCAGAATCTTTGGGGAGAGAGAGGACCCGCCAACACCTGGAATTCGGGCTTCTGGCCTCAGGCACCAAATATCTGTCACCCTGAGCCATCGGTTTGTGGCCACTTGTGACCGGGACCACAGGAAGCCTCTGCACACCCCCTGCAGCTGGGAAGGAGCCCTGCCTCCTTGGAGGCCGGCCCGTCTGGCTTCCTTCCCTACCCTGGGTTTCCGCTCACGGAGTCCCCCGTGCATGCTGAAGGCTGGTGCTCCCGTCACCTTCACACATACGGACCAGGAAACTGAGTCTCTGAGAGGCTATATCACTTGCCTGAGGTCACACGGGCAGCAAGTGACAGAGTCCGCATTCGAACTCAGGGCCCCCAGCCAGGATTTCTGCTGGCCATAGCCACCACCTTGCCCCGCCGGCCCTGAAGAAGGTCACCACACTCCTGACCCCAAGCCTTTCCATGTTGGGATTTGTTTTATCATTCGGATGTAGAGACGGGGTCTCACCGCGTTGCCTAGGCTGGCCTTGAACTCCTGACCTCAAGTGACCCTCCTGTCTCAGCCTCCCAAAGTGCTGGGATGACAGGTGTGAGCTCCCACACTCAGTCTCACGCTCAGTTTTTTTTGTTTGTTTTTCGGTTTTATTTTTTGAGTTGGAGTCTCACTCTGTCACCCAGACTGGAGTGCAGCGGCTACTCCCAGCCACCGCGGCCTCGGCCCACTGGGCCCCGGCAATCTTTCCGCCCTTTCCAAGAAGCCGGAACTACAGGCTCGCGCTACCATGCTCAGCTAATTTTTGATTTATTGTAGAGACAAGGTCTCACCAAGTTGCCCAGGCGGGTTTCAAACCCTCAGGCTCAGGCAATTCACTCACCTCGGCCTCCCAAACTGCTGGGATTACAAACTGAGCCACCGAGCCCGGCCTGTGTTGTTTTGACCCTGAGCTTCAAACTCCTGGGCTCGAGCGACGGAACCGCCTCGGCCTCCTGGGCTCAAGCGATCCTCCCGCCTCGGCCTCCCAAAGTGCTGGGATGACAGGCGTGAGCCGCTGTCCCTGGCCCAGCACAGGCTGCCAAGGAGTGTGTCTGCTTCCCTGCTGGGACTGGGAGGAGCCTGGCTCGCTGGCCCCGCCCACCCCCAGGGGCACAGCACCTACCCTCGCTCTGCGTTGACGACGATGGCCCTGGGCTTGTCCCGGTCCCCGCGAAGCACGACCCCCATGGCGTCGCCACCCAGCCGGTGCACATTGATGGTGTCGGTGGCCTCGCACGTCCAGAACAGCGTGCGGCTGTAGATGTCCAGGCTGAGGTCGTGGGGCTGCCGGTCTGGGTTCTGGCCTTGGCCCGGAGAGGTCAGCACGAAGGGCTGGAACACAGAAGCCGCCGCTGGCACCGGCCGCCGCCCCGGGAGCACCGGGGACACCTCGGGGAGGGCGGAGGCCAGGTCCTGAGCCCGCCTGAGGCCGACACCCTGGCACCAGCGTGGCCGGCGGCCCCCACCACGTGCCCACGGGACAGTGCAGAAGCGACCAGGCCCGCGGCCTCGCGAGGGGCAGGGCGCTCCTGCCCACTCCAAAGCCAGACCCGCCTGAATCGCCAGGGAGCCTTCTGTGTGTCGCTGGGCGGCGGGGTCCCCCCTCCCGCGAAGGCCCTACTGGCAGCAAACAGTCCCGTCCAGGGGCCACGAGGCCATCTCAAGACACCTCTCAAGGCTGGTTTTTGCAACGCAGAGCAGGATGCGGGTGTGGGGACCAGAGGCACAACCC